TACATCAACGTTTATGTCTGTAAAAAAAAAAAAAGTGTATGTAAGTGAGCCTCTGGTGTGTTTGCGTTCTCCTCCAGTTCCTCCCTAGAAACCAACATGTGGTGTGTGTGGACATGCCGGGACACGAGGGGACAAGTCGCACCGGTCCAGAGGATTACAGCATCCGTGGTCAGGTTGAACGAATCCACCAGGTCTGTACAAATTTGTGTGTGTGTGACACTTGCACACTTATAAGTTTGGAAAAACCACTGGGATATCTTTCAAGGGGAGGTTATTCTTGTAATCAAAGCGAGGCTTCCAGGTTTGGACCACAGCAGAAGCACTGAGCTACTGCCCTGTTTCAAAACTCACCTCTCTGTTTTTCTTCTTGTGTAGTTTGTGCAGAGTATCGGTCTTGATAAAAGACCCTTCCACCTGGTCGGCACGTCAATGGGTGGCAACGTTGCAGGGGTGTACGCTGCCACTTACCCCACCCACCTATCCAGTGTCACCTTGGTTTGCCCGGCAGGTAAACTCAGCAGACGTACCTTACGTTTGCTGATGATGATCAGGTTTGCATAATTCCTCTTCCTCCTCTTCTCTCCCAACCAGGCCTGGTTTACCCGACAGACTCGGAGTTCATCAGTCGCCTGAGGGAGCTGGAGATGGGTGAGAAGGATGAGTCGATCCCGCTCGTCCCCACCACCATTCAGGAGCTCGAGGACATGCTGAGACTCTGTTGTAACACCCCCCCAAAACTCCCCCGACAGGTACAGGGCTGAGCTGCATGGGCGCAGTTCAGATTCTTTGTAGAAATGACTTCCTTCACAAGTTTCCTTATCTGCATGATCCATTGTATCAGCACGTCATTAAGACAAGGAAAGATGTGAAGGAGAATTTGTAAGGATTTAGGAGAAATCACATTGAAATATTTAAACAATGTGACTGTAGGTTTTAAGGTTTGCTGTGGTGAAGCTAAAATTTACCAAAGTTTAACTACAATACTTCACCCTGTTCTCAGTGGCTGTCTTATGTTTAATAGCTTCCTCTTCCAAATTCATCCTGCAGACTGTCATCCGCGTTATTTTATTTGCACTTTAAGCATTTTATCTACCTCACATCTACAGCCAGTTTAGAATCACTTAACCTCACATGCATATCTTTGGACTGCTAGAGGAAGCTGGAAAAGCAGGACAGGAAAAACATGCAGACTGCACACAGAAAGATCTGCAATGAACTGAGTTATAATGCAACCCTTACTTCACTTTTAACATTGATACGGGAATATCTTTATTTATGGAGCAGTTTCATAAACCCACATTGCAAAGTGCTTCACAAAAGACATCATAACTTTACAAAAGGCGCATATGAGTGCAGAGAGTAGCATCCTAGAGAGTATGATAGTTTGTTCCTCTGAAGCTCCTTTCCTTCCACAAAAGATGCTCCAGCTTGCTTTAGTATTTACAGAATTCAACCATCAAAAAGACACTTCTGGGTCACTTTGCATTTAAGGCTTGTAACAATATACCTGCTCTCAGTCACACTGCCAGTACTGCTGTTGCTTTTCTTTCTTTCTTTTTATTTATTTGCATTTGTGTGCATGTGTGTTGTTAGGTGCTGAGCGGTCTCCTTGCCAACAGGATCCCAAACAATGATTTCTACAAAGAAGGTCAGTCCGCTCACCATCACCTGCTCTTTTCTTCTCTTTGTCCCGTCCTCCTCCCCTCATCCCCAGCCGGTCACAGCAGACGGCCACACTTCCCTGAGCCTGGTTCTGCTGGTGTTTTTTTCCTGTTAAAAGGGAGTTTTTCCTTCCCACCATCACCAAGTCGTTGCTCAAAGGTGGTCATATGATTACTGGGGTTGCTTGCAGAGATGCTTGCATCTCTATAATAATGTAGGGTCTCTACCTTACAATATAAAGCACCTTGAAGCGACGGCTGTTGTGATTTGGGGCTATATATATATTAAACTGAATTGAAGTGAATTGAGTTCAAGCAGTGCTCCATCGACAGTCACAGATTACTGAGGGATTTGATCTGACCCTTTGCCTCCTGCCTTTTTTCATTATTTTCTATTTGACATTTCAGATAAATTAATTAGTGAAGGAAAGCACTTTTGATATGACTCACTTGTATAAAGACAGTGAAGCAGGGAGATAAGCAGATTGTGTCTACTTCTACTCTGCAGTAAACATTTTCCCTTTAGTA